TGAGGGAGAGGGACTGACCTGACCAAGAGACACACAGGAGGTGAGGGAGAGGGGCTGACCTGACCAAGAGACACACAGGAGGTGAGGGAGAGGGGCTGACCTCACCAAGAGACACACAGGAGGTGAGGGAGAGGGGCTGACCTCACAAAGAGACACACAGGAGGTGAGGGAGAGGGACTGACCTGACCAAGAGGACTGTCTTGACCAAGAGACACACAGGAGGTGAGGGAGAGGGACTGACCTGACCAAGAGACACACAGGAGGTGAGGGAGAGGGGCTGGCCTGACCAAGAGACACACAGGAGGTGAGGGAGAGGGGCTGACCTGACCAAGAGACACACAGGAGGTGAGGGAGAGGGGCTGGCCTGACCAAGAGACACACAGGAGGTGAGGGAGAGGGGCTGACCTGACCAAGAGACACACAGGAGGTGAGGGAGAGGGCTGACCTGACCAAGAGACACACAGGAGGTGAGGGAGAGGGGCTGACCTGACCAAGAGACACACAGGAGGTGAGGGAGAGGGACTGACCTGACCAAGAGACACACAGGAGGTGAGGGAGAGGGGCTGACCTGACCTAGAGACACACAGGAGGTGAGGGAGAGGGGCTGGCCTGACCTAGAGACACACAGGAGGTGAGGGAGAGGGACTGTCCTGACCAAGAGACACACAGGAGGTGAGGGAGAGGGGCTGGCCTGACCAAGAGACACACAGGAGGTGAGGGAGAGGGGCTGACCTCACAAAGAGACACACAGGAGGTGAGGGAGAGGGGCTGGCCTGACCAAGAGACACACAGGAGGTGAGGGAGAGGGGCTGACCTGACCAAGAGACACACAGGAGGTGAGGGAGAGGGGCTTGCCTGACCTAGAGACACACAGGAGGTGAGGGAGAGGGACTGACCTGACCAAGAGACACACAGGAGGTGAGGGAGAGGGGCTGACCTGACCAAGAGACACACAGGAGGTGAGGGAGAGGGGCTGACCTGACCAAGAGACACACAGGAGGTGAGGGAGCAGGACTGTCCTGACCAAGAGACACACAGGAGGTGAGGGAGAGGGGCTGACCTCACAAAGAGACACACAGGAGGTGAGGGAGAGGGGCTGACCTCACAAAGAGACACACAGGAGGTGAGGGAGAGGGGCTGGCCTGACCAAGAGACACACAGGAGGTGAGGGAGACGGGCTGACCTGACCAAGAGACACACAGGAGGTGAGGGAGCAGGACTGTCCTGACCAAGAGACACACAGGAGGTGAGGGAGAGGGACTGACCTGACCAAGAGACACACAGGAGGTGAGGGAGAGGGGCTGACCTGACCAAGAGACACACAGGAGGTGAGGGAGAGGGACTGACCTGACCAAGAGACACACAGGAGGTGAGGGAGAGGGGCTGACCTGACCAAGAGACACACAGGAGGTGAGGGAGAGGGGCTGGCCTGACCAAGAGACACACAGGAGGTGAGGGAGACGGGCTGACCTGACCAAGAGACACACAGGAGGTGAGGGAGAGGGGCTGACCTGACCAAGAGACACACAGGAGGTGAGGGAGCAGGACTGTCCTGACCAAGAGACACACAGGAGGTGAGGGAGAGGGGCTGACCTCACCAAGAGACACACAGGAGGTGAGGGAGAGGGGCTGACCTCACAAAGAGACACACAGGAGGTGAGGGAGAGGGGCTGGCCTGACCAAGAGACACACAGGAGGTGAGGGAGAGGGGCTGGCCTGACCAAGAGACACACAGGAGGTGAGGGAGAGGGACTGACCTGACCAAGAGACACACAGGAGGTGAGGGAGAGGGCTGACCTGACCAAGAGACACACAGGAGGTGAGGGAGCAGGACTGTCCTGACCAAGAGACACACAGGAGGTGAGGGAGAGGGGCTGACCTCACAAAGAGACACACAGGAGGTGAGGGAGAGGGCTGCCTGACCAAGAGACACACAGGAGGTGAGGGAGACGGGCTGACCTGACCAAGAGACACACAGGAGGTGAGGGAGCAGGACTGTCTTGACCAAGAGACACACAGGAGGTGAGGGAGAGGGACTGACCTGACCAAGAGACACACAGGAGGTGAGGGAGAGGGGGTGGCCTGACCAAGAGACACACAGGAGGTGTCTTGACCAAGAGACACACAGGAGGTGAGGGAGAGGGACTGACCTGACCAAGAGACACACAGGAGGTGAGGGAGAGGGGCTGGCCTGACCAAGAGACACACAGGAGGTGAGGGAGAGGGGCTGACCTGACCAAGAGACACACAGGAGGTGAGGGAGAGGGACTGACCTGACCAAGAGACACACAGGAGGTGAGGGAGAGGGGCTGGCCTGACCAAGAGACACACAGGAGGTGAGGGAGAGGGGCTGACCTGACCAAGAGACACACAGGAGGTGAGGGAGAGGGGCTGACCTCACAAAGAGACACACAGGAGGTGAGGGAGAGGGGCTGACCTGACCAAGAGACACACAGGAGGTGAGGGAGAGGGACTGACCTGACCAAGAGACACACAGGAGGTGAGGGAGAGGGGCTGACCTGACCAAGAGACACACAGGAGGTGAGGGAGAGGGGCTGGCCTGACCTAGAGACACACAGGAGGTGAGGGAGAGGGGCTGCCTGACCAAGAGACACACAGGAGGTGAGGGAGGAGGGCTGTCCTGACCAAGAGACACACAGGAGGTGAGGGAGAGGGACTGACCTGACCAAGAGACACACAGGAGGTGAGGGAGAGGGGCTGACCTCACAAAGAGACACACAGGAGGTGAGGGAGAGGGGCTGACCTGACCAAGAGACACACAGGAGGTGAGGGAGAGGGACTGACCTCACCAAGAGACACACAGGAGGTGAGGGAGAGGGGCTGACCTCACCAAGAGACACACAGGAGGTGAGGGAGAGGGCTGTCCTGACCAAGAGACACACAGGAGGTGAGGGAGAGGGCTGACCAAGAGACACACAGGAGGTGAGGGAGAGGGGCTGTCCTGACCAAGAGACACACAGGAGGTGAGGGAGCAGGACTGTCTTGACCAAGAGACACACAGGAGGTGAGGGAGAGGGACTGACCTGACCAAGAGACACACAGGAGGTGAGGGAGAGGGGCTGACCTGACCAAGAGACACACAGGAGGTGAGGGAGAGGGGCTGACCTCACCAAGAGACACACAGGAGGTGAGGGAGAGGGGCTGACCTGACCAAGAGACACACAGGAGGTGAGGGAGAGGGGCTGACCTGACCAAGAGACACACAGGAGGTGAGGGAGCAGGGCTGTCCTGACCAAGAGACACACAGGAGGTGAGGGAGAGGGCTGACCTGACCAAGAGACACACAGGAGGTGAGGGAGAGGGACTGACCTGACCAAGAGACACACAGGAGGTGAGGGAGAGGGGCTGGCCTGACCAAGAGACACACAGGAGGTGAGGGAGAGGGGCTGGCCTGACCAAGAGACACACAGGAGGTGAGGGAGAGGGGCTGGCCTGACCAAGAGACACACAGGAGGTGAGGGAGACGGGCTGACCTGACCAAGAGACACACAGGAGGTGAGGGAGAGGGGCTGACCTGACCAAGAGACACACAGGAGGTGAGGGAGCAGGACTGTCCTGACCAAGAGACACACAGGAGGTGAGGGAGAGGGGCTGACCTCACAAAGAGACACACAGGAGGTGAGGGAGAGGGGCTGACCTCACAAAGAGACACACAGGAGGTGAGGGAGAGGGGCTGGCCTGACCAAGAGACACACAGGAGGTGAGGGAGACGGGCTGACCTGACCAAGAGACACACAGGAGGTGAGGGAGCAGGACTGTCTTGACCAAGAGACACACAGGAGGTGAGGGAGAGGGACTGACCTGACCAAGAGACACACAGGAGGTGAGGGAGAGGGGCTGGCCTGACCAAGAGACACACAGGAGGTGTCTTGACCAAGAGACACACAGGAGGTGAGGGAGAGGGACTGACCTCACAAAGAGACACACAGGAGGTGAGGGAGAGGGGCTGGCCTGACCAAGAGACACACAGGAGGTGAGGGAGAGGGGCTGACCTGACCAAGAGACACACAGGAGGTGAGGGAGAGGGACTGACCTGACCTAGAGACACACAGGAGGTGAGGGAGAGGGGCTGGCCTGACCAAGAGACACACAGGAGGTGAGGGAGAGGGGCTGACCTGACCAAGAGACACACAGGAGGTGAGGGAGCAGGACTGTCTTGACCAAGAGACACACAGGAGGTGAGGGAGAGGGACTGACCTGACCAAGAGACACACAGGAGGTGAGGGAGAGGGGCTGACCTGAACAAGAGACACACAGGAGGTGAGGGAGAGGGGCTGGCCTGACCTAGAGACACACAGGAGGTGAGGGAGAGGGACTGACCTGACCAAGAGACACACAGGAGGTGAGGGAGCGGGACTGTCTTGACCAAGAGACACACAGGAGGTTAGGGAGAGGGGCTGGCCTGACCAAGAGACACACAGGAGGTGAGGGAGCAGGACTGTCTTGACCAAGAGACACACAGGAGGTGAGGGAGAGGGACTGACCTGACCAAGAGACACACAGGAGGTGAGGGAGAGGGACTGACCTGACCAAGAGACACACAGGAGGTGAGGGAGAGGGGCTGGCCTGACCAAGAGACACACAGGAGGTGAGGGAGAGGGGCTGGAATTCTTAAGATTATGGGGAGTCTTGAATATAGACTAAATATATCCTGCCTGAGCTTTAGAGGACAAAGGGAGGAATGCTATGGTTTCAATATTAGTTGTCCCCCAAAAGTTCATGTGAGAGAGAATGCAAGAAAGTTTAGGGGTGATATGTGGGTATGTGGGTTATGAGAGTTTTAACCTAATAAATGAGTTCCTCTGATTGATAGGGATTAATTGAGGGCCTGTAGGCATGGAGGGTGTGACTGGAGGAGGTGGGTCATTGGGGGTATGCCTTTGGGTATATATTTCATGAAATGAGAATTCTCTGTCTCTCTCTTTCTCTCTCTCTCTCTCTCTCTCTCTCTCTCTCTCTCCTTCCTGAGACATGTTCTCAGTTGCTTTCCTCCCCAACACCCTTCTGCTATGATGTTCTGCCTCCCCAGGGGCCCAGAGCAAATCATTGGTCCATCTATAGACTGAGCCCTGACACTGTGAGCACCCCAAAAAATTCTGGGGCTCTAATTTTTCTGGTCAGGTCTTGTGGTCACAGCAACAAAAAAGTAGACTAAAAAAGGCAGGCTAGTGAATGTAGTGGCCCTGGGACACAAGACACCAGCAGAAGACCCCAGACATGCAGACACATGTGTGGGGACAGGGCCAGCTGCACAGGGCCGAGGTGCAATGGGGTCAGGAGTAAGAGGATTCTTAACGTCCGTCACTTCTTACTTGTTCAAATTTCCAAGCATGAATTTGTTTTGAATTTAGGAGACAGAGAAGAAAGGACACAGAGACAAAAAGCATGGGGGGCCCCACTGGGAGGAGATGGTGATGACACACAGATTGGCCACAGCCCTGCAGCTTGGGGGCCCAGGGAGTTGGAGTCCAGGCACTGCAGAGGCCCAGAGCCTCACTAATTGGCCATTGGAGGCCAAGTACCAGCCCTGCCAGGTACACAGTGACCCCAAGTGAAGGTGCCTTAACACGCTGCCCAGCTGGCAGGACAGGAGAGGAGGCGGACGTGGGGCCCCTGCGCTTCACAAAGCCTAGGAGCCTGCTACACACACAGCCTGGGCCCAGAGCCTCACTGGACCTACTACTGCCTGCCGCCTCACTCACTGCTCAGGAGGTCACAGCTGAGCCGCAGAGGACAAGGGGACTGGGCATCCGCCTCCCTGTCTCCAGCACAGACTTGGCTCAGGAGCACAGGGACCCTGGAAGCACAGCTGCTGGCTGTATGACCATGGGCAGTCCTAACCCTCACCTGGACAGGTAAGGTCAACACACCACCTGCTCAGGCCTGCCAGGACCAGAAGCTGACCATGAGTGAGCAGGCAGCAGGGCTGTGTATGCAGTAAGCACTCAGGCCTTGCCCCAGCAGGGAGGCAGAGACCACTCCCCTGCCCGCACCCTGCCCTGCACCCTGCCCTCCACCCTGGTGGCTGGGCAGGGCCTGTGAGCCTTGGCCTGAGCACCCGCTGGCTGCCCCTTGCTAAGCACAGGCTCCGAGTCTGCAGGCTGGGGCTGCGGCTCCTGCATTTCCACCAGCTCCAGGGGCCAGGGACGCTGCTGGCTCAGGACCACGCTGTGCACAGTAGGCCAGGGACAGTGGGGAGGACAGGCCATCCTATCACACCCAGTCAGTCCTCCAGCTCCCCAGCAGATGGGCACCCTCCCTACCCCGTGGCCAGCTGCTCATTCCACTGGGCCCAGGGATGGCCCTGCGTCCTCACCAAGCTGACAGCTCTGCTCTGTCCCTCTTCCCACGTGAGTCAATGACCTTGGCCTTGGGGTGGGCATTCCAAGTATCTTCAGCTCATCACAAGGTCAAGCCGTGCAGTCAGGTGGGCACCACCAAGGGGGTGTTCAAGAATTCTCTGGTTCAGTGTGCAGCATGGCACTGACACGTCTCTGTACTCCACAAAATACGTGACCACGTCCCGTAACCTGCTCAATCTCACTGCCTCCTCTGTCCTCTCTGCCTGCTGTCCCAGCGCAGGGCCATGCCGACCCTCAGAAACGGAAACCTCTCAGCACTGCCCTGGCGGGAGTTTGTGCTGGAGGGCTTTAGAGGAGGGTGGAGGTTCAAGCTCTGCTCTTTGCTGTCTTCCTGGCCCTCTATGTGCTGACCGTCCTGGGCAATGTCACCATGATCGTGGTCATCACCCTGGATGCCCGCCTGCACTCCCCCATGTACTTCTTCCTCAAGAACCTGTCCTTCCTGGACCTCTGCTACTCCTCCGTCATCGCCCCCAATGCCCTGGCCAACTTCCTCTCCTCCAAGGCCATCAGCTTTAGGGGATGTGCCACCCAGCTGTTCTTCTTCTCCTTACTGGCTACCACTGAGGCTTTCCTCTTGGCTGTGATGGCCTATGACCGCTTCTTGGCCATCTGCAGCCCCCTGCAGTACCCTGCGACCATGTGCTCCAAGACATGCTCTCGCCTGGTGCTGGGCACCTACTGTGGAGGCTGCCTCAACTCCATGGTACAGACCAGCCTCACCTTCCAGCTGCCCTTCTGCGGCTTCAACCGCATCGACCACTTCTTCTGTGACGTGCCCCCGCTGCTCCAGCTGGCCTGTGCCAACACGGCTTTCAATGAGCTTCTCCTGTTTGGCCTCTGTGGTTTCATCATTGTGAGCACTACACTAGCGGTCCTGGTCTCCTATGGCTACATCGCAGTGACCATCCTCAGGATGCGCTCAGGATCTGGGCGGCACAAGCTCTTCTCCACCTGTGGCTCCCACCTGACAGCCGTGTCCTTATTTTATGGAACACTATTTGTGATGTATGCCCAGCCAGGAGCTGTGGAGTCCATGGAGCAGGGCAAGGTGGTCTCCGTCTTCTATACCCTGGTCATCCCGATGCTCAACCCCCTCATCTACAGCCTGCGGAACAAGGACGTGAAGGACGCTCTGCAGAGGCTGGGACAGAGGCACATCGCCATGTGAAGAAAATTCTGGTGAGAGTGTCCATGGAGCTGGACTGAAGGGCTCTATGGAGATATCTGATCTTCCAACTGCTCTCTACTTCAAAATGCACTTGAAGGTGTTGGGGCACATGTTCACCAAGGTCCTTTGAGCATTTCATGGACCAGATGTTTATTACGTGTGAGATGCACGGGTGGAGAAGGCTGGTCTACATGCAGAACTCTGACCCCAAGAAGACTGGGTGGGCACCATGCAGAACTCTGGGGAGGACTGACAGCCTGACCACAAGAAGCCTGGGTGGGCACCCAGCAGGGCCTTGCCTTCTGCCTCCTCCTTTGCATCTCTGAGCCATTTCCCAGGCTTTAGTTGGTCAGAGGATAGATATGGTGCACCCTGATTAAAGTCGTCAGACAACAATGTGTGTCTCACTAACCCAGCTTTCACCCAGACGCAGAGCCTGGCTGGCCGGTGGCCTCCCGTGATGCGAGTGAAGGGTCTGCCTGCCCGCTCCCTCAGCCCATCTTCCACACCAGTGCCAAGGAGCTACTAAAAATAATAACTGTTTACAGATCAACAACCAAGCCATCCCGCAGAGCGAGTCTGGCATCAGGTGGAGCAGGGTTGGCTGTGAGTGGCCCAGTCTGACAACGAGAGCCCGTGTGCGAAGGAGCTGCAGGGGGTCTGGGCATCGGGGTGGCTTCTCTTGGGGCAGAGCTTGCCCAGGCTCCTGGGACCTGGTAGCCCCTTCCTAGCCTCAGGATGGACCTGGGAGAAAGTAAAAAGCTGCACTGTGTGTGTGTGACCATAACTGTATACATCATATACACACAGTGTGTGTGCACATGGATGCAGAGCAGGACTTATCCCTTCTGGTATATGCACATATGTCTGTACATGCACAATAAAAACACTAATTCCAAGGGAAAATACACAAGTTTCACCTACAACTCAGCAAGTTCAACATTTGCAGGTCAAGAGAAGGTACGGCTCACTCCACCTGCCTGTCCTCGCCCTCCGGGTTAGCCTTACCCTGACTAACCACATTTTCAGGATCTGGGTGGCACAAGCTCCTCTCCATGGAAAGTTCTGTGAAGACAAAAGTACTTTGTCTTCACAGAACTTTCCATGGAGAGGTATGCACGATTTGTCTTCTGTTTGACCACTACTGCTCGCCCATGTCCAGCTGCCTGTAACGGAGCCCTTGGCTGTCCACCGTACATGATTCCATTACAGATGTTCCTCAGTTGCAATGGGATTACACCCCGTAAGCCCAAGGTAGGTTGGAAACATCATAGGCTGCACTGCATCCAATACTTGTCACCTACAGGTCACAGTTCGGCCTGGCCTACCTAAGCATGCTCAGAAGGCTCACATCAGTTTTGGGATGGGAAAAATCATCTCACAGGAGCCTCTCTGATACCAGTGTTGAGTGTCACCTAAATCCTTCAACATGTCCAGGAAGGGAAAGCAGAGCAGTGAAAGGGTAACTCACAGCATCAGAGAATCAGGAACCGTTAAGTCAAACCACTGTAAGTCAGGGACCACCTGCATACAGTACTGACATGGTCATTCACTCATCCTCCTACTGACCATGGACATTTTGGTTGTTACTAATTACTGGCCCTTAAAATAATTCTGTTCTTTTAAACATCTTTTCCTGTGAATGAAATGAAATCCTGCGGGCATTCTTAAACATGAAATTGTTCACCCAAATAGTTTTCCAAACATGATGCCAATTTCTGCTCACATTGACCAAAGCAAACACGATTTCCATTGCTGTGTATCATCAGGAGCAGGTGTGCGCTTCAGGAGCAGGTGTGTTCTGTTTCACAAGCTTCCCCATTCGGGGGTTAGTGATCACACGTCCCTGCCATTTTCATTGTCATTTCTTGAGTGGCTCATGAGCTCACCCACCTTTGCACAGAACAGACATCTGGATATTCTTTGGGGGGAAGTATATCTGTTTTGCCCATTTTTCCACTGTTTTCTTTTTCATATTGATTGTAGAAATTCTTCACCTCTCCCATCCTTATGAACCCCTTGTTGGTTATTTGATTTGAAAATACTTCTCCCACTTGGTAGTATTCACATCCACATAGTTGTTTTTCTTTTTTTAAGTTAGTCAACATCATTCTCTAAACTTATTACCAGGTAACTGTGTTGGTCACTTCCTTCATGGTTCTGTGGCATTTAATACTTGCCTATGCTACGTCCCCAAAGATACTCTTCTCTGATATCTTGTTATTTTTAGATCTCTTTGCTGAGTCTTTCATTCGGTGTCCACATGCACACAAAATTGGTGATGGCTTTTGTGCTTCAGGGGTAAACTGTGTGTTGCACATGGTTACTCACAGGTTCCCACTGGCCTGACCATGGCCACCTTGAGTCGACCCTGCCAGGAGCCCTGTGTTGGCTGATTCCTGAGGCCACTTCCCGGCACAGACAAAAGCCGCCCAGGTGTGGGGCTCAAGTGCGGGGATGCGCCCAATGTCCTTGATACTGCCTCCAGGTAACCCTGTGTTCTGCAGGACGAAGTCACCTTGGTCCTGGATTGCTACGCAAGCCCCTCCTTCTTACCCAAACTGCAGGGACCTGATGGCCCTGCTGCTTCCCAGGACCACACATTATCACAAGTCCAGGAAGCTGCATGGCAGCCAGCCTTCCATCTTGGGCCCCGTGGCCAGTGCTCAGGCCCTGGGTGCAGGTTTTCTTTTTGTAACTTGTTTTTAGATGTGCATGACAGCAGGGTGTACTGAGATATGACACATACATGGGGAGTGACCCATTACAGTCCTGAGCCCATTCTTATGGCTGAACAGGATTTTGTGGAGTTACACTGGTCATGTGTTCACGTATGAGCACAGGAAGGTTATGTCCCATTCACTGACCTAAGAAACACTTTTTAAAGCACCTTTTCTCTGGAGTTGTGCTTGGTCACCAAGTCATTAACCAGGTGCCCCTGTGGGCATGCTTGCTTCTAGAGACTGTATTCTGTTCTATTGGGCTATTTCAAAATACATCATGGAATCTTAAAGGTAAAATGTTATAATAAAAAACTCTTTAATATCTATGGTGTGTAAACTATTAGGAAATAAAGTGTAGATACTCTTGAAAGATGTAGCGGGGACCAAGGAGAGACCCAGCGTGTCTCTGGCTGACGGCATCCCACATGACAAAGCTCCTGATGACGTGGCACAGCCAAACCAGCCAAGGCCTTTCCAACCTTAAGGTGAGGATAGGAGCCACCTCACACTTCTCTGGAACAGTTTTAAATGCACAGTGGGAGGGCATGCCCTGCCCAGCTGGAGCAGTGCCATGCTGCAGCACATGGGTCTGGGTGTGAATGGACTTAGTTAGAGGCCCTGGCATCTGGCTGGTCTGCTTCTCGGTCCCTCTGCCCACCTTGGCCTTCCACCAGGTGCTCATCAGACCCTGGCAGAGGGCTTTTAAGCCTCTGCCTTAGGCTTGAGGGGCTGCTGAGACCCAACCCAGAGCAGTTTGCCACTCTGGTGCTCTCAGGGACATCCTGGACCTTCTCTTGCCACATAGGCCAGTGCTCCCCTTGTCACGACCCTGCAGTCGTCCCAGAGCCCCCTTCATAGCCTACGGGGTGCACCATATCATTTTACCCTCTGCCCTTCTCCAGCACAGTCCCAGGGTCAGTTCCAGGACAGTCCTCAATGCCCTCTTCTCATGTGCTTCAACTGTGGCCACGCTTGCCAAATCACTTCCCTTCTCACAGTGAAGGCAGCTGCGTGTGTGCATGGGCACAAGAGAATGCACATTGGTGCATGCCGACCTCAAGTCAGAGACCACATCTCAGTTCTCTCTAGTCTAGTGCACAGCCCCTCGTGGCTACTGAACACGGGCTGACCTGAGCTGAACCCCCAGCAGCTGCACTTTCTCCTCCTCCTCCTCTCCTCTCCCCGCTCCCCCACCCCGAAGACCTGCTCATCATCCTCACCCTTCCCTCTAGCTCAGGCAGGTCTGTGGGCTGCTCACCTCGCACTCACTCCCAGGAGCATTTCTTACAATACTCTAGACTTCACACCTCTGCTCGTGCTACTCTTCACCCCTCTGCAACCTGCTCTCTGCATCTGCCACTGCTCACTGTCCAGACCTAATGGGCATGTCCCATTCCTTGTCAAGGAAGACCTCTGAGTGGACCCGGGTACCATCTGTCAATTGCTCTTTGGTGGCTGTCTTCCACTGGTGTCTGTTTGGGACATTCATCAAGCTTTGTGCTTTCTAAACACTCTGGTCATTCCTGCATGACCAGACATCTTTGCTGGGCACTCTTCTCTGTGCTGGCTAACTACTGGCACCCCTCAGGGGCTGGTCTTGCCCCTCACATCCTGCAGTCTGCTTTCCCTCCCTTGGTGACCTCCAAGGTCACTCTCCATGACATCCCCCCACCCATCGAGCTCCCCTCCACAGCACACATACACTAGGTGTGCACTCCGTGTCCTTCACAGGATGCCCAGGCCCTGCTGCCCTCACCAGGACAGGAAACGCTGAGCCAAAGAGAGCTCTTTTGTGCCCTTTATCAATGAACACCCTGCTGCTAGGGCAATCATTATTCTGATGATCTCTAAGAACAAAAATGACTTTTGTCTGCTTAGAGAATCCCAAAAATCAGTTCATGTGAGATGTATTCTTCGTAGACTTACCTGATGCAACAGATGCCCTGGGCCGTCCTCGCTGCTGCCCAGGACGGCTGTCCTCGCTGCCGCCTGCGACGGCAGTTCCCTCTTTTCCACTGCTGTTCAGTATTCGATTGCTCAAATCATACATCCCTTCTGTGGCTGGTGGACAGTAGAGCTATTCTAACTTGGGGACATCATGAGCACACTGTTAGGAACAATCTCCTGTGTGTCTTTGATGGTACAAGGAATTATTTCTATTGCAAATATGCCAAGTAAACTGGAAACTGTTGTGTCATTGAGACACACAGCTTCAGCAGGCCATGCCAGGTGAGATGGCCTTGGAAAAGCTCTAAGAATCTACCAAAAAAAAAAAAAAATCCCTTAGAAAAATAAATCAACCTCAATCTCAGGATACAAAGTCAGCACACACAGCCAATTCCACCTCCACACCAGCAAGGGGTGACTGCAGTTTGGACTTCCCTGTCATATGCAATATGCCAAGTAAACAAAATATGTTAGAATAAACTTAACAAAATGCTAAAGTACATTAACAAAAAAGTATAGAATATCAATGAAAAATTAAAAAGCCTAAATGAAGGGAGCTAAAGTGTTTGTGAACTGAAATATTCTACATTGCTAAGATACTCATTTGTTCCAATTTGGTCTCTAGATTCATTGCAATCCCCATCAAAATCCAAGAGACATTGATGACCTAATTCTGAAATTTATATGGAAAGAAAAACCACTAAAATAATTATATTAGCTATCTATTTCCACATCAGCTCAAAAGTCTAGAATCATATATATATATTAGATCCAGGTGTGCCTGAGGCTCCTCGGATTTGGTTCCTTAGGTACAATTTACAAGTATAGTCTTTCTTGATCTATAGACCTGCGAGACTAGGGAAGCTGTCAGATCCCCGTGACCATCGTAACGATGGGGGATGGTCAGACAGGTATGGATAACTCTTTTTTTTTTTTTTAAGAGAGAGAGAGAGAGGTTTTTTTAAATATTTTTTAATTTTCGTGGACACAACATCTTTATTTTTTATGTTGTGCCGAGGATCGAACCCAGCGCCCCGCGCATGCCAGGTGAGCGTGCTACCGCTTGAGCCACATCCCCAGCCCCGAGCCCCAGTCTTTACTCAACAAACTGATCGCACGCAGCACAACAGCGCTTCATCTATGCTGCTCACGAGAAGAGAGCACCCAGTCCAGGCCACCTCCAGGAGGGTGTTAAACACAATGTGAATACCAGGAGGCAGCGGTCTCTGGGGCCACCGTGGAAGCTGCCTACCTACCACGCTAGTCACAGACTGGAAGAAAATATTTGCAGATTATATATGTGATAAAGGATTACATTAGATTATACACAAACATAATTTTAAGTAAGAAAACAACCAACC